CTGAACCGACTTATTAAATTGCCAATTATTAGTTTGCTACAAATTTGAATTCAAAGTCTTCTACATTGGAGAAGAAGGTTCACTTGATGCAGGACATTGCTTCAGAGTTCTCAATAAGATGGGATTCCAAAGCTTTTGAACTAAGGATGTCGAAATCCTCTGTTTCTGCACAGGTGTTGTCCCTAGTCCTTTGATCTCTAATGGATCATTTTTGCTATTGTATTATAAAATTATTTTTCTCCATGCTTTTATTTTCCCCTTGGGAAATCATTCTGAGAATATATTATAAAATCATTTTTGCTCTTGCAGGAGGCTACCCCGAAAGGAGTCAATTATGAGGATTTGTATGAGAGAAGTCATGACCATCCTAATGGCAGGCACAAATTTCAGAATGGCAAGGAGGCTTTTGTCTCAAAAGGAGATGAAAATAATCTTCGTTCTAAATCCAAATTCCCAATCCCCGAAAATGGATTCCGGCCACCAAGCAGTTACGATGAAGTCAATGCGAAAAGGGATGGCCATGGCAACCCGTTACCTAAGATGAGTGATAGAGGCTATTGGAAGGAGGGTAGTATGCTAAAACCAATTGGACGTTCTTCCAAGGATACAAGAGAGGGACAATTAGACGGTGGTTCCAATCTGCATGATAGTTGGGGGAATGCCAGGCGTGTAAAAGAAACCCAGGACACTGCCACTGCTAGGAATTCGCTTGGTCATGCAGGATCTTGTTCAAAGAACAATGTGGACGAGCCTTATGTTAATCATGGTGGCTTACCTGATGTTGATAACCCAGAAAGAAAAACTCCTAGGGTAAGGCCCTTCTATAGTAATGCCATGCCATCTTATATAAGAGAGGAACAATTTGAAGGTGGTTCCAATCAGCATGATGGTTGGGGGAATGCCAGACGTGTAAAAGAAAACCAGGACACTGCCACTGTTAGGAAATCTCCTGGTCATGCAGAATCTCATTCAAAGAACAATGTCAATGAGCCATTTGTTGTTAATCGCGGTGTCCTACCTGATGTTGATAACTCTGAAAGAAGAACTCGAAAGGATGAAACTCCTGGGGTAAAGCCCTTCTTCAATAATGCAATCCCTCCTCCTTATGTAAAACCTAATCCTAAACTGAAGACCAGCACTCATGGAACCAATTCAGTATCTTCAAATATTGACAGTGATCGTATCCCTACATATCCTTTAGTGCATGAAAAGCCTAGTGCTCCTACAATGGACAGGATCCAATCAGGTTTGGATGATTCTGAACAGAATTTGCAGGCCATTAGACATGCAAGACTGAGTAAACAGGGTCAGGAAAAAGAACTCTCTATTCAGGAAGATGCTACAGAAGTCAGTGTATTAAAACAAAAATCTATGAGACGGGAGCACTCAAAATCAAGATCTATTCACAATGAAACTAGTAATGAAGATGCTGAACTTGTGAGAAAACCTAGGAGCAGGAGACGAGATGAACAAAAACGTGGCCTGCAAGTTTTGTTTGATGATGAGCAGCATAAAAATGATGAAGAGGAAAGGATAATAGATAGATTACTGATCCATTATAGCAAAAAGCCATCTATGTCTCTGCCTGAAAAAGCAAGAAGAAAGTCTAGAAGTCGGCATGCACATCAAATGGAGAACTCAACCAGGGAATCCCTAAAGAATGGAAGCAGAGAGGGGCCTGACACACCAGAGAGGGTCACTCATGCACCAAGATCAGTTTCACTTCCCCATGAACAAACAGAATCTGGGGAAGTTAAAAAAGTATATGCTCGTGCTGCTTCATTTCAGCCTGATAGATCAAATGAAGCTCCACATGTGCATCCCAACTTACCTGACTGTGATGATTTAGCTGCTAGGATTGCGGCATTGAGAGGAATATAAGTGACTGGAGCACAATGAATAAATACTCCTTTGCCAACATGATTGCAGTGATTATGATCATGTTTTGATCTCACGTACCGTTGGTATTGTTCAAGAGTGCATTGTGGTGCTTTAATTTCCAAGTGTCGATTACGCCATAGCTATATTATTAATTAGCCATGGTCGTTCCTGTGTTTACAATTGTCGTGTTGTCATCATTTTTACTAATGATGGTTATATGCAAAGTTTATTCAAGTTTTTTCACCCGTTATGATTGAAAAAGTGTTTGTAACAGAAGAAATCAGTATTCGTATTTTCTCGACTCGAGTAAAAGTTGAGATATATGTGGTTGTTTCAATTGTTTTACTCAACCATATATATGGTCTTTGTAGTACACACATCCAAATATTATTTTCGCTGATGTAACACTTGTTACAGTTGTTGCAGCGGTTTAATTTGTTTGGGAAGAAAATGAAATTGATCTTGAAATGAACAATGTGGTGGAGGTAGATATGTATATCTTTTCTTAAATCCTTGTACACGACAGAAATAATTTGATAGCAGTATCTATGGGTACGTCCAAATATCTCTGCATCATCATAAAAGTCTTTGGTTCCTAAAGGACTCGAGGCTTGAGGGGTTTTTGTACTTGTAGGTCCGAATACTTCTCGGACCAACATCCCAGTTGAGGCATGTCCAAGTGTCTCTCAGCTATTGCTAATACAAAAGCATAACAAGAATATTGAGAAAGATAAGACCATAATCTCATTTATTTTGAGACTTACGCTATCAATTAATGTCATCTGAATTTTCGCATTAACAGAAGATAACGCTAAAAACACGAATTTCTTTAATTTTATACATTCCATATCTACATTCCTAAATACTTTTACTCGAGTGTCTTTGCAGGTATTTTACTTGTTCTTTAAGAATCATATAAGGAACAAGGAGAAAAGGAGAGTGACTAAGAGAAGAAATGTATACGAACCTTGGTGCAGGTACATACTGCTATGAAAATGAAATGCCTTCCTAGTTGACCCTGCTAAGTGTTGATGCCTTGATCAAGTGAGTTGGTTGTAAATTCTGTTTTTATTTTTTTATTTTTTAGTTTTTATTTTTAAATGCAGTTGGATTGTAATTTTAGCAGCTTATCATAAATTTAATTTTTATTTAAATATTTTTTTTGGTACAACTTTAAATATTTAATTTAAATTTAATTATTTAACTATATTTTTTATTTTTTAAAATCTTTGCTCAGCTGAAAGTAGTGAGCTAGCGCAGTAATGACCCATGTAGGGGTGGAATCTCCCATCATACCTCACGTCATGTAGTATAGCCTGGAAATGTCCATAAATAGTGGATTTTCACCTTAAAATTTTAATCATTTTTAGATACAATCCTTTTTTATATTAATTTTTTAAAAACTAATTTGACCCAAATTAAGCCAACCAAATCCCAACATAGGCTTCCCCATCTCTAGGTGAAAATTCACAGTAACACTATCAAATTGATCAATCTGACCATTGTCAGAACTTGTAAGTCCTAATTAGTTCAGAAACAAAAGCCTTCACCTTTACCCTTCCCTAGGACCATCACCCCTTTTCAAGATTCCCATTCACCATCCCTTCTTGTCAAAGGATAAAGTACCATTTCCCGCCACAAAAGCCCTTCGCTTCATCCTCTTCCCTCCCCTATATCACACTGTTTCTCTTTTCTACGCAAAAAGACCATTGTCCACACACACACACCAAAACCAAACACCAAAAAAGATGAAGGGCACATCCAAATTCATCATGGGAGCAACCTTGGCAATGGTGGTAAGCCTCGCCATTGTTCTAGGCCTCATACTAGTGCTACTAGCTGAACTCTACTGTTCTCTCTTACTCCGCCGCAGAAAAACCAACTCCAACACCAACACCAACACCATTCCCATCTCCACCACTCAAACTACCACAACCATATCAAGTGCTCCCCCTTCACACACACCACCACACTCTCCTCCTCCCCCTTTGGCCAACATTTATTCACAAGGTGTCCTCCAAGCCCCTAGAACCTTCCTTTTCCCTTCCAAAGATGAACAAAGCACAACTCCACGTGGCATTGGTCTTGTCACTCTTTCACCATCCCCACTAGCATCATTCTTGGCCAGAGCTCCACCACAACACACACTTCAAGTCAGTGCTAGTGAGGAGCACCTTGTGTACATTTCCAACCCCATTTATGAAGAGGGAAAAGCAAGTGAAGCAAACACACCGTTCGAGACGCCACACACTTCACCCTCAAGGTTAGAGAGAAGTGGTTCTTCTGGCGATGATGATGATCATGATGCTGAGGCTGAGGCTCTAGCATCCCTTTGTGGTTGTGCTCATCATTCACCACCTAAAGTGATACTTACGCCACCTCTCACCCCTATCAAGAAGCTACCAGCAGAGGCTTCTTCTGTTTCTCTTAGAGATGCCACCTCCTTGAGTGATTCTCATAGCGTCAATGGCCCCTCTTCTTCCTCCTCGGATTCCCCTTGTACTTCTCCTTCGTGGTGATTTTGCTTTGTTAATGTACAAGTGAAAATTATTGCATGATATGGAGCGACGTGTCCATGGTTTTGGTTAGATTTGTTAAAATTTACTAAGTTCCGAAAAATTTGAGAATTTTTATTTTAATCAACTTCTTAAATTTAAAAATGGTTTAATTACCCTTTTTTATAATTTTATTTTTTAATTTCATAATTAAAAATATTTTTTTAGTCTTAATACATTTTATTTTTGTTTTTAGTTAATGTAGTTGCATAAACTTTATATTTTAGTTTATATGACAAAGAATTAAAATGGAAATATATCAATTAAAATGAAATATTTTTTACTATAGAAAATAAAAGGGAAAGGATATTAATACAGTTGACTTTTTAATTTTTTATTTATAATTTTTGTAATCGGGTCTTTGAATTCAATAAAATAACTACAAATTGTTATTAGTTTTAGGAGTTCAATTTCAAAAAATGTAAAAAAAATCAACGATTCAATTATAATTTTTTTAAGTATAGGAACCTAATTAATTTTTTTTTAAAATGTTCACGAAAACTAACTAATATGTTAAACCATTTATTAATTGATATGTAATGAAATTTTATTATCATTTTCCCTCGTAAATTAAAAATTTTAACTACATATACACAATTTGACCGAAAGTATACGTGTTTGGTATTACGTTTTTACGTATGGGTAGGTGGAAAACAACCTCAAAATTTTGAGGAAAAAAAAAACATAGAACAAGACAGAATAGCATCAAGGCGGATGCACGTCAGCTTCATCCTTAACAAAACATGCGTGGACTAATAGTGGGAACTGAACAGAGTACACACATGAGAAATTAATTCGTTTTTTGTCATTATAATCTTCGATAAAAATAAATAAATGCACCATAGACACATAATTCTGTATCGTCTAATAACTTTTTCTTATGAGCTTTTTGTTCTTTTCTTTTTCTTGGATTTGTTTGGCTAGGTGGTAGGGTTGTGAATAGCATTCTTGGTGTTAATGACCACTAAGATGTAGCCACTTGGCAGAAAATGAAAAGACAAAAAAGGGCACAAGTACTTTTCACTTTTCAGGCGTGGCCATACCTCTTCTAAGTTCTAACCATGTCATTCTCATGCCAACTCTAGTTACTCTACTTTTTATGTCTATCTGCCATTTATTTTTATAGGATATGTTTCTATTTGCTTGGTTTTTATAGGAAGTTGTTGCTAATCCTAGTAACAAGCATACAAGCTCTTGATTTTCCCGTTTTACATATATGTTTTTGGGATTGGGAGATTGTGCACGTGATTTTTGAATGATAATATATTAAAAGTTTTTTTGTTCGTGTATTTATTATCATATGAATCAAATTAAAATGTTATATCTCAGTTTTTGAGGGGTCTCGAATTATGATTCCAATGTAGAATGCGTTGAAGGCTAAAAACAAACAAATAATGCAACTGCAACTGCAAGCAAAGTCTTCTATGTTAGTCTTAAGTCCACTTCGATAAGGACAACTCTTGTTTTTCCGAAACACGAGGTTCTGATTTTTTTTTTAACATTAATTCATTTCACCAAGCAACAGGCAGTGTCCAAAAGTTCCATAATCTATATATTTTGAGTTGTACTAACTTTTAATTGTTAAGCATGTAATAGTACTTACTTTAAGAACTTATATCTGCCATATATATGCAAATTTTTTAAGATACAATAAAGTTGTCTTAATAATATTAAGGATCATAATTGACAATTAAATTTCGTAGAAAACCAGAAGAGAGGAGAGAGAGTTTGTGCTTTTGAACGTGTAAAAAAATAAGGCAGAGACCTTTATGAAGTTGAAGAAATTGTATGAAGTCCATAAATAGATTAAAAGTTAAAGAAAAAATTTGATTAAATTTATCTAAAGATGATTGTCAGAGAATGAAATATTTGATCCTGATAATATTTAATAAAATAGATAAAATTTTCAAGATCGAGTCAAACATTTAAAATGAAATATTAAAACATAAGCTTCCCTCAATTAAATAAAATAATTTTCAAAAATAAAAATATTTTCAAATTCTATTTTCACATGCAAGAGGAGTAAATCTACAGATTTGCATTACAACAAATTCACTAAAGTTCATTTTTATGAGGTATGAACCTTGTTCCTACCGTAAGTCCACTGTCATCGTTAGGGTCACCGCATCCGAGGTATTGTCCGCTTTGGCGCTCGTTGGGTCGTCACGGTTTTGTCCTTGAAAAGGCGCCTCGGTGGGTTAAGGAGGAATAGTGTTTATAAACTACCCTTAGCCTCGATTCCTAAGCGATGTGGGACTTTTAGGCATACCGGAACAAGCCTCCCAGTCGATGCTAAGGGGCGAGAGTGGCCTGGGCCCTCCTTCTAGCGCCAATGTTCCGAGCGTAAGTCCGTTGTCATCGTTAGGGTCACCGCATCTGAGGTATTGTCCGCTTTGGCGCTCGTTGGGCCGTCACAGTTTTGTCCTTAAAAAGGCGCCTCGGTGGGTTAAGGAGGAAGAGTGTTTATAAACTACCCTTAGCCTCGATTCCTAAGCGATGTGGGACTTTTAGGCATACCGGAACAAGCCTCCCAGTCGATGCTAAGGGGCGAGAGTGGCCTGGGCCCTCCTTCTAGCGCCAATGTTCCGAGCGTAAGTCCGTTGTCATCGTTAGGGTCACCGCATCTGAGGTATTGTCCGCTTTGGCGCTCGTTGGGCCGTCACAGTTTTGTCCTTAAAAAGGCGCCTCGGTGGGTTAAGGAGGAAGAGTGTTTATAAACTACCCTTAGCCTCGATTCCTAAGCGATGTGGGACTTTTAGGCATACCGGAACAAGCCTCCCAGTCGATGCTAAGGGGCGAGAGTGGCCTGGGCCCTCCTTCTAGCGCCAATGTTCCTACCGTAAGTCCGCTGTCATCGTTAGGGTCACC